AGAAACTTCATTGAGAAATACATATTTCTCAGTATATGTAAGCAATCAATCCCATCTACATGTACAGTGATTTGTGAACCCTTTTGGATTTTTAATATTTCTGCATAAGTATTATTTAAAATGTTCTCTTCTCCCTACAAGTCTTAAAACTAGATAGAAATAATCCAATTAAATAAGTGAGTCACAGAGGTTTTACTTGTTCATTTATTATTGCAGAAAATGGTCAAAAGCTATTTTATTTGTATGTCCCAAAAATATGCTAACCTCTAAGATTTGTCAGTTTATTGGAAGGGAAAATTAGAGTCAGGTGTTTCAATCAATGGCATGATAATCAGGCATGAATGTAGAAGATCTTGCCTCTTTTAAAGAACAGAATTCTATCAAAGTCTGATCTTTGCAATACATCTATATAGAAGTGTGCTATGGCACAAAACAAAGGAGATTTCTGAGGACCTCTCAAAAACAATTGTTGATGCTCACTAGGCTGGAAAAGGCCATCAAACTATTTCCAGGGAGTTCACTATTAAGCAGTTTGTATACAAATGGAGGCAATTCAACACAATTGTTATCCTCTCCAGGAATCATCAGCCAACCAAGATCTTGCCAAAAACAAAACATGTAATTCTCTGGGAGGTCTCAAAGAACTCCAGGAGGAACTTAAGTTCATCAATGGAGCTAAAGGTCTCTCTTACATTGGGAATGTCAATGTTCGTGAGATCATAATTGGGAGTATACTGAAAAATAGTGTGCATAGCAGGGTTGCAAGGAGAAAACCACTATTTTCCAAAAAGAACATTGCAGCCTTTTGAAAAAAGCACCTTTGGGACAGCTATGACCTGGATGACTGAGAATCTCCATAGACATTTCACCTGAAAGAAAAGCATTATGTTTGGTGAAAGGCAAAAACTGCATTCCCAACATAAGAATCATATCCCACCTGTGAAACATTTATTTATTTATTTATTTATTGGTTCGATTTATATGCCGCCCTTCTCTGGAGACTCAGGGCGGCTTACAATGTGTTAAGCAATAGCCTTCATACTTTTGTATATACCTGCTTAGTAGGGCTTTCGGCCCCCCCTAAACGGTGTTCTTTTATATACAAATTCAGCTTATTGCCCCCACAATCTGGGTCCTAATTTTACCTACCTCGGAAGGATGGAAGGCTGAGTCAACCTTGAGCCTGGTGAGATTTGAACTAGCAGTGATTGCAGGCAGCTGGCAGCTAAGTGCTACTTAACAGCACTTTAGTCCGCTGCACCACCAAGGCTCTTTATTGTGGTTTTGGCTTGCCTTGTTGCCTCTGATCTGAAAAAGCTTGCTATCATTGATGAAACTATGAATTCTGAACTGAACTAGCAAATTCTACAGGAAAACGTCAGAGTATCTGTCAATGAACTGAAGCTGAAGAGAAAACAGATCATGCATCAAGACAAGAACCCAAAGCACACAAATCGAACAACCAAAGAAAAGTTGAAGCAGAAGAAAGTTAATGTTTTGGAATGGACAAATTGAAGTCCTGATGTTAAATAACCCTTTAGACATGATGTCGAAGGACCCAAAAAGGCAGTTCATGAGAGGAAGCCAGCCAACACCCCTGAGTTGCAGCTGTTTGGCAAGGAGGAATGGGCTAAAATTCCTCCAAGCCAATATGCAGAATTGTGATCCACAATTATTGGAAATGTATAAGTTGCAGCTATTACTGCCCAAGGGGAACATACCAGTTACTGAAAGCAAAGGTTGACATACATTTACCACCAAATATGTAGCCTTGGATCATTTCCTCAACAAATCAATGAACAAGTATAATATTTTTGTTTCATTTTATTGAATTCTTTTTATCTAGTTTTGCAACTTGTGTGAAGAACAGATAATGTTTTTAGATCATATTTATGCAGAAATATTGAAAATTCAAAAAGGTTCACAAACTTTTAAGCACCACTCTGCTTTGTCCTTTAACAACTAGTAAAAAACATCAAAACAAAAAAAAAGATTTTTTTGTGGAAATTGTGGAATACGTTTCTTATTACTTTTCATTTTGTTCTATTATTGTGGTTTCTGCCATAAAAGACAGAGAAGTATTTTTTTTGTCTTGTCCTGAATTTCTTCTTAAAGAAGAAAGTATCTACTTTATTAAAAACCATCAACTAACCAATTTATACCAAAAAACATATGACAATACTTTTAGGGTTACAAAGTTAAAGTACATTATAATTTAGCGTTCCTTAAATCAGTACACTCCAAGTATGCTAGACTAAAAATTTTAATATCACCAGCTAGCCTTGCCACGGTTACTGGAAGTCAGACGATGTACAAATTTTATTTTTATTAATAATAAAAAGTAGATTGTAGCACATCATTTCAGGAGGATGCCAAGTTATGAGAAGACAACTCTAACCATTCTTAGTTCCCATTAGGTCTTGTGAAGAAAAAGTGATTTGTAAGGCTGCTATTGGTAAGAGATTTACAGATAGTCCTTGGCTTACATCCATTCATTCAGCAACTGTTCAAATATATGATGGTGCTGAAAAAAATGGTAGTACAATCAGTTTTCAAAGTAAAATTGCAGCACCCCAATGTTCACATAATCTTGATCTGTGGGCTCAGGTGTCTGGCTTGCAGCTCTGTCGCAGGAAGTTGCAGTCACACAATTACAATTTGCAGTCTTCCCTGCCAGTTTCCCATAAACAAAGTCAATGGAGATGCCAGCAGGGATCACAAGTCACTCTGGTAAGTTGGTCCCATCTTTTCTCTCCACTGTAGTATCCCTCACTTGCATGCAGCTTCTGCCGGCCTTCCCCTGACTCATGCGCAGCCTGGCTTCCCCCATCTCCCTATGTCACTCCACCCCATATCTGAGATTCCTGCCTCTTCCTGCTTAACAACCCATGCAGTCCTGGGGCTACAATGACAACTGGGACTGCCTGAGATTGCTGTCGTAAATAATGCAGTCACATGGTGTCATACCTTAAGCATTGCTTAAATAAGCAATAAGCATTGCTTAGTGATAGTAATCCCGGTCTCAACTGCCATTGTAACCCTAGGACTACCTGTGGTCTAATTTATTTTTAGATCTACCATAATAACTATCTAGTTCATATAACAAAATGATTTTAATCATTTTTTTCAAACCTTTCCCTTCTCAAAGAGTAACCATGTGACACTGACAGTGCTACAAGGCAGCCAAACAGAACCCAATTATCACCCAATTCTTCTCAATCAAGGGCATCTCTTCATTGATGCCATATGACAACTATGTATTTTCTAGACAAAAATTATCCAAACTGTTTTCGGTCCATAATGCCTGACAGACATCATTCCCACTGACTATTGACTTCCTGTAAAATTTTATTATCCCTCGTTGTTTCAGACTACCTTTTTCTTCAATCTCATGTGTTCCAGATGTGTTGAACCAAGAATAATTTATGATTCAATGCATTAAGTACAACCGATATTCTACAGAGAGTGTCTAGAAATTATAGCAGGAGGGGTCATACCCCCTCTCTTTTAATAGGGGTAGGGGTTCCTAAGGATTTCTAAAAGTGCAACATTACATGCTAAATTAGGTCTAATATATGATAGGTTAGTACACTTCATCACTGTTTCAGGGAAAACTGGAATAATGTAGACAGCTGATTCTACAAAGAGGAAAAAAATCCTTATTATATTATTAATATAAATCTTATGAAATATAGTCCTCAACTTACGACCATAATTGAGCCCAAAATTTATGTTGCTAAGTGAGAAATTTGTTAAGTGAGTTTTGCCCCATTTTACAACTTTTCTTGCCACATTTATTAAGGGAATCACTGCAGTTGTTAAATTAGTAATCCAGTTGTGAAATGAACCTGGTTTCCCCATTGACTTTGCTTGTCAAAATGTGGCAAAATGAGGTCACATGACCCTGGGATACTGCTACCATCATAAATGTGAGTCAGCTGAATGTCAAGCAGCTGAATGTAAATCATGTGACCATGGGGACGCTGCAATGGTCGCGAGTCTGAAAAATGGTCATGAGTCACTTTTTTTCAGTGGCATTATAACTAAGTGACCTGTTGTAAATCGAGGACTACCTGTATTTTAGAAAGTTGATTCTTTTTTTCATACAAGCTCCTATATGGATGCAATCCCATTTAGTTTGCCATTCAAAAGGACATTTGGAAGTCCTTGTAAAATCAGACCAATGGTTCAGTTAGTTTAGCAATCTATGTCCTTTAGTGGCTAAATCCCCAGCAGTTGATATTTGAGAAAATCAGTGGATATTAGATTAGGCAAAATGTATGTTTACAGACAATGATCTAGAAACAAGGGTGACAAGCCAGCCACTCCAGACCAGTCTATTAGTAAACCTCCCTACGTATATTTGCCTAGAAATCCAAGGAGAAAGTTTTTCTAATCTAGTTCAGACTTCTCCTTGCCATCCTAAATTTCCATGTTGAAAGGTTTTTTTTAATTAAACAACATTACATTAATATTTTATTCATTTGCAATAGGAAGATGTACAGATGTGATCTCTCCCAAAATAAATCCTTTCTCACATATTTGTACCATTCTTCGAAGCTATCAACGACTATGTGGATAAGGTGGATGTAATAGACACTGTTTATTTGGACTTTCACTGAGTTTTGCTGCAATCCCATCTGGAAGAATTATAAAGAGATGTTATTGCTACACTGCATATAGAGTATTTACACAGCAGAAAAGATACAGAATAAAAATAACCAAAGTGATCTGGAGCAATGGTCTTCATAGGATACGGTAGAGCATCTGAAAAGTTTTAAAATAACAACAACAACAACAATAAAAACAGGAAAGAATGAATAGCGGTGTATAAAATTATATAAGTATTAAGAAAGCTCCCCCATCCAAAAAACATTAGGACAGGGAATTTTCCAGGCATCAGTCCAAGCTGAATGATGGGAGATTCAAAAAATAACAATAATACAAGGAATCTCTGTAAACAGTGGAATTTTCTACAAAATTCTAGATTGTATCAGAGTTCACATAACTGTATCAGTTGCTAAGAAACAAGAGAGCAAGAGCATGCTAATATACTAGTCACATCTCTGTGGGCCTACCACTAGGAAATGATCAGCCACCATGGGAATTAAATGCTGGATTCACCTTTGATCTAATCCAGCCCTGTTCCAATTTGTCCACAGTTAAACTAGATTTCTAACACAAGAAACTAATTTACATAGAACTAGAATGCATCAACTGTGAAAGAATTACGGTACACATTGTGTTTGCTTGTTAATGAAGGTCTTTTCTATTCAGATGCTCTCAAATTCCATCCAAATATAGTTACAAATGGAGATGATGTTGAATTCTTTTCATTATTAGCTTAAAATATTATCGCTGACCAACACATATAGAACATTTTAATACCTGAGAATTATCTTTATGTTCCTTAGATGTATTCGTATAATGTTTTTTTTAAATAATGTTATTATGTTCATTATTGATTTTATGTAACTGCTTGGATTTTTGAATGAAGATATGTTTAAAACATAAAATATGACATACTGGTAAAGCAGAATGAAGCAACAATGCATCATATTTCAAATACATTTTTTTCTGTTTAATAATTTCCTGCTACATACAGTATTATTCACTTGTACACAGCTTTACAAAGGGAAAGATGGTTCTCACTTCATTATGTAACTATATGGTAGATGTGCTTAAGAACCAGAGTAGGTGTCTTCCATGAAATATTTTTGAGTAGCATTAACTACATTTTGGTGTCTATGAATAGAGTTTTTGATACTACATTCCCATTCATGATATAACTGAAGCTCATCACAACAACTTTCTTCAGGGGAATTCAATTATGAGAAAGTTCAAAAGTTTTGTTTTGAATCAAGATTCTCTACTTCCTAAACTTTTCTAATACTGATTCATATACTGATGTATTTGCCTTAGAACTAGGTAAAGTCCTTTCTCATCCCAATTGTAGCCATAAGTTGAAGACTACCTGTCTTCATTTCTTAGTGCTTAAGCTTCATAAAACAACTGAGAATACAGATAAATTGGTGTGAAATGCAATTTAGGCATAATAATATTCCCAGGGGAGGAGAGCAGTTTCTTGAATCTCTCCAGGTTCTCTCAAAAATTAAAGGGTGGTGGGGAGTGCTTTCAGGTTTCTGTTATTGCAACAATATAGGTAATGCTAGTATTCATGGTTTTGGTTTCCTGTCTAGAATATTTTTAAGGCCTGAAAAGCAGGAACAGTGAGAAAAAAAATGAAAATATGTAGTTCTTGGCAACTTCCTCTTTTTCGTCAGTTTTCTGCTGCACTTGCAACTTTTTTTCTGTGCCATTTGTGGGAACTTTCTCATATCCACCATCTATTCTAATCAAGTAAGAAATAGCATTTTTTAGCATCTTATATAATAATGACCTCTGTTTGGCATTATTTGCAATGGGCAGAGCCCGCAAATGTAATGTTGAGGATACTGTAATGTTCTTTGTACCTTTTAGAAGCAAAGTGCTTGGTTCAAATCTAGCCTGGTTCCCCATAGAACACACAAAGCAAGTCACTTGGAGCAGAGATTATACCGTTTCCCCCAAAATAAGACATCCCCTGATAATAAACCCAATCGGGCTTTTGAGTGCATGGCAATAAGGCCAAGCATTTATTTCAGGGTTCAAAAAAATATAAGACAGGGTGTTATTTTCAGGGAAACACAGTATTTTCTTTTTAAAAAAGTTTTTTATTAGTAGTTCAAAATTAAAAACATTGGACATAGATATTCTATGAATGGTTAGATAAAAGGAGGATAGCTGAAACGAATGTGTAGTGTTAGACTAGAATTATATACATTATTATAGATAAATATGTATGTGAATTGTATATATGTATATGTAGGTATAGATATGTATAATTGTATAAGAATACGGTATAAAATTACTGTTATTATGTTTAAATAGGTGTAAGGAATATATTATTATATTATCATTAGTATATTATGTATTAGTTTAAAATGTTGGAAGATGCTTGGGATCAGTGATGTCATATCTATGAGCAGAGATTGTATTTTGACAGCACAATGTACAGTACATCAATTAAAAGGTAGGCCGCACAGAAAGCTAAGATTAGTAATATTTATAGTAACAATGAGCTTTGATCCTGAAGTGTGTAAATTGAGGCTTTCTTGCCCTGGGGATGTGTAACGTCTGGAGAGGAAGTTTATTTCTTGCCCTGAGGGTAGAGCTGATCTTAGATGTGTAAATCTACTCTGTGTGGAAATTTTATGGGGGAGGGGGATTGGCTCTGAGGATTTGGTGTTAAGGAGCACTACTGTGATGTAGGAGGTTTCCCAGGTACGGCTGGCTGAGCTTTGTCAGTTTCAGCTTACATAGGATGAAAAAGGTTTCATCTGTTTTTATAACTGCATGTGGATCAAGAGAGATTTTTGCTTGCAGAATGAATGGAAAGTGGGGGGGAGGGTTGATATATGGCCTGGCTGGGGGTTTTTACCTTCCAACATACCTTTAAAAAGTACTTGGCATATACAGCTGATGATTAACTACGTAGTCAGCTTTTCAACAGAAATGTTTTCATTCAAATGCATCCACTAGTAGCTTTCTTCATTTTCAGCTGCCAAAAAGAGGGGAGAAAGTACTATAGGGCTTATTATTTGGCCAAGAGATGACTGTGCTGGGTTACGTGAGAGAGGAGAATAGCCAAGCCATACTTTAGACTAAATTGTTTCTTGGATGACTCATTTCTATTAACAATTTCAGTTATTTTTAGCCACTGATTCTGTCACAATATTCAGTTCATTACCTGTACTCAATTTTTTTAAAGATTGGGGGTTTTTTTCCTCACATTATTTGCTACTTATCACTTCCCAAATTTTTCATTCTTCTGATTTTTCAGACCATAATGTAGCCAGCTAGGTACTTTCATTTATCCTAATGAGCCAGAACATCTACAATTGTGCTATTTTACACAAACACACATACACACACCCTCTTAACTTATGTTAGCTCTTTATAGAGACATTGTATAATATCTGTATAAAGTGCCAGGGCTGCTTCTGAAAATCAGAAATAAACTTTTTCTATGGCCAGTCAGACCTATGCATGCATTATCATGAGATGTATTAAAATTCTCCATACTTGCACACAGAAGTTTTATTCTGGAAAAATTAATGTCACAATTTTCGTAGTATATATTGTAAAGGGAGAGGCATGTCAGTTTACAGTGGTCAAATCCGGAGGAGACTTGGTAGCACATTTGCTCACTAACAAATTTTATAAGAAGGCATAAGCTTCTCCCGCAGCGCACTGAGAAGAGGCGTGTCAGGTAAGACCAACGCCCCTTCTGTGAGTGCAGCTCACTTCACCAGATGCAAAGCATCATTAGAGCTGTGTAAGGTTTAATTTGAGGTGAGGCAAGTGGGAATGAAAGGAAATATAGATTGGTAGTGCAGATAAAATGTGAGACACATCTCAAGCACCTTAACAATTAACAATTGTAATGTGTTAAAACTCATTGTTTATGTTCAGATCTTTTGAGATTGCCTGAAACCTTTTGATGTATGTGAATTCACAACAATCTCTCTCTCAGTGGTGTTAAAGTCACATTTTCCTCCCAAAACAGTAACTTTGAGGTCTGCCATAAAATATCCTGGGAGACTGAAATACTCTGATATTATTTTTTTCCCCTTGTTTTGAGTCCTGATTTCAGATTTGTGCCCATTAAAATTCTTTTGTACAAAGTATGTCTGTCTGTCCAAAGGAGTGTTGCTGGCAGATGATGGGATATATCCCATTAGAGGTACCTTCATATGCTCTTCCAGGCCTATGATGATGCTAATGGGTTAGGGACAAAGTAAATATCTGATACCCAAGTTTGCATTATTGTCCTGTTGTTTCTTGCTGCTTGTGAGGAGCTGCTTCAAGTTGGATAGGTACCTGTTTGTAAGAATGGGCTTGCTACCAATGCCTTGAAAAATTCAGTGTCATTGTTCAGTATGGGCTATAGTCGTGATGGTGAACCTATGGCACGCGTGCCACAGGTGGCACGTGTAGCCATATCAGTGGGCATGCCAGCTGAGCTCTGGCACGCATGTGCGTGCCGACCAGCTGATTTTCAGGTCTTCTGGGCCCACCAGAAGTAGGGAAACAGGCTGTTTCCTGCCTCCAGAAGGGCTGGGGGGGGGGGAGGCCCGTTTTTCTTTCTTACCTGGCTCCAGATCCTCTCTATGCATCTGCAGAGGGCGAAAAAGGCTGTTTTTGCCCTCCGCAGATTAATAGAGAGGATCTGGAATCAGGTAAGAAAGAAAAACGGGCCTACCAGGCCATCACGTGCCAGGAACGGGGGGGGGGGGGTTGCGCGCGCATGCGCAGGACAGGGCGCATAAAATTATTGGTGTGGGCAAGCGGTGCGTGACCCTCCCCTGCCCCCCCCTCTCCTGGCACGCGATGGCAAAAAGGTTAGCCATCACTGGGCTATAGTTTACTAATACTGTGTTTGAGCGGTTTGAGCTATTTATGATCAAAATAAGTGTCCCCAGCACTGCAATTTCTGGATTCTGTCTTATTTCTGGGTTTTCCATTGGAGAATTTCTACAAAATATTATCTCCCCCATAATCTTCCTCTTGCTTTCTATTTAGCCTTGGCATTCACCTGGAGGCTAGAGTTAGTATAATACCCACATCAAGTTACAATAAAAAAGTAGTTGGAGAGGATGAAGGTGACCAAACTGGTAAAGGGATGACTGACATAGGTGTTAAAAGATGGCCTAGCTTTTCATGTTTCTTGAGGTTTCTGATATTGGTAATAAGTCCTAAGTCATATTACAATATTTAAATAATGTGCAAATGTGTATTATGTATATAGGCATAATGCCTTCTATGCAAGTATAGTATCAGACAACTTATACACTGTAGAAAACATTCACCATCAGATAACAATCAACAGAAGATACTTTTTTAAACACAAATCTTCTTTTTCGACTCTTTGGCTACTTAACAAAACAAAATGACAGAGAGGCTCAGATTCTTAACATCATGCAACATGCTTTCCATTTCAAATGCTTTGTGAAATTATGAGCTGACTATTTAGAGTTCATGAAAGGGTCAGAACACTTAATTCTGCCAGAAGTGAGATTCGTCTTCTCGCTGCAATCCGATTTACATTTGGGATTTCTTTTTATTTCCTTATGTTCTCTATTTCTATTAGACAGAATTGTGAAATTCAGTGAATTTGCAATGTGCTGGAAA